TGGACAGGGAAAGGGCTTGGATCTGTAAGGAATGGTGTCCATGAATCTATCAAAACACAATGTACAAAATTTTCAAAGAATCAATTAAAAAAAGAATTGGAGAAACTTCTTTTTTGGTCCTCTAATGTAGACAAATTGCTAAATGGTGTTATTAATAAAAAAAAAATGGAGCCAGAAATTGGGGTTAAAGCTGAGAGATCAGAGGAATAGGCCAAGCCACAAGCCAACCTCACCTCACCACCCTTCGGTCTTCAGAAGAGACCTACTTCCTGTGTACCCACACCTATAATCCCTTCTGTTCTGCTAACTCATTTCCTCTCTCCGCCCAGCTACATCACTTCCTCTTCTTGCCCAGTTCTGTCACTTTCTGTCTCTCTGTACAGACCTCCAGACCTTTATGGTTAACTAGTTTTGGAATTTAAGGCATGTGCCACCTTGCCTGGCTCTGTTTCCAGTGTGGCATTGAACTCACAGAGATCCAGACAGATCCCTGCCTCCTGAGTGATAGGATTAAAGGCGTGTGCTGCCATTGTCTGACCTCTATGTTTACTATAGTGGCTGGCTTTTCCCTCTGATCCTCAGATAAACTTTACTGGGGGACACAGATAAAATATCACCACACTCTAATACTGTAATGGCAGTAATGGGCTGTAGCTGCAGTCCATCGTAGTTCGTTTTCATCTAGCACTCGGCAGGCTGAGGGCCAGGTGGTCATGGATATGTTGTCAGCAACTGGGTTGTTTTTGTTTCTGAAGCTTCCTTTCTTTGGCTACGAGGGAGCCACTATTGGTCATAATGAGCTTAGTGGACTGTGGGCTGGGCAGTCTGTGGACTCTGGGGTACCCACTTCGTGTTTGCCAAGGGAGCAAACATTCCGGTTGAGGAGTCCCTCCTACCTGACTGAGCTCTGCCCTGGAGGGGAAGAGCTCAGAGGACTGGCAGTCCACCCGATACTCCCAGAGCTGCTGGAATTTACAGTGGAGGGAACTGCCCTGTGGGACAAAGGAGGCTGTGGGAACCCAGCTGTCTGCTGGACCTCTAAGTTCAGAGCTCTACCTCCTTCCCCACAGCCAACCATCGGTGGAAGGAAGGTAGGTCTAGGTGTCCTGTGACTGCCAGCTACGGGTTTGGAGTTCTCATCTCCTTTCCCGCAGGCAATCAAGCTTACTCCTCCTCAGGGTGCAGAGCTACTGGCCACTGCTTCTGACAGCTGAAGCTCCCTGATGTCCAAACGTCTCAGATCTCACCTAACCCTTTGGTTGTCATCCCTCGAGATACTGTGGCAGTGCTTCCAGGCTGCTTCATTTAGGACTGACCCTCAGTTTTGAGCCCCCAGATGTGGTGATTTGAATAGGTATGGGCTCCCTCAGACTCATGTGTTCGACTGCTTGGCCTATTGAGAGTGGCCCTATTAGGAGGTGTGACCCTGTTGGAAAAAGTATGTCACCGTAGGGGTGGTCTTTGAGGTCTCATATAGGTTCAAGCTATACCCACTTGGGATAGTTCTCTTTCTGTTGCCTACAGATCAAGATGTAGAACTCTCAGCTACCTCTCCAGCACTATGTCTGTCTGCCCACCACCATGCTCCCCGCCATGATGATAATGGATGAAATCTCTGAAACTGTAAGCCAGCCCCAATTAAGTGTTTTCCGTGGTCATGGTGTCTCTTCACATCAATAGAAACCCTAGCTAAGACACCAAAATAGCTCAGTCTTAAATCACAGAACCACTGTCAAGATGGCCCCTGGGTCTAATGCTCTGAGACATGAGGAATGCTGCCACGGATTTCTCCTCTGGTGCTAGGTCCCAATCCAGAGTGATAGTTTTGTTGAAAACATGCACTGAGATTCAGGTGTCTGAGCTCTGTTTTTCCTCAGACTGATGCTCATTGCCAGAGCCATCTGGCTCATTTTGTTGTGCATCTTTGGGCTCCATTCCCTAACAGGGAGCCAAGGCTGGAGTTGTGGACTCTTTTCCCAATTGTTTCTGTTACCATCTTCTCCATGCTTCTTAGCTGCCCTGTCACTTCTTTTTTTGATCCCCAATCCCCTTCATCCTCCTCTCCAGAGAATACAGTTTCTTTTTGTTACCTGACTCATCTCATCCAGTCTCGCAGAAGAAGCTTAGAAATCAACATCTTATCCCAGAAATACCTTCTGGCAACTCTGTAAGTTATATACAGAGATTGGAATTGACTGGTCACAAAGAACACCACCTTGTTTTTTATAATCTCCTGAAATATTTATGTATTTTATTAAAAGTCTGCATTACTTTCATAAATTTAAACATGTTGTTCAAGACAGAGTATCGGAAGTATTCCTACCCAATACTCAAATGCGGGATGTCCAGCAAATGCCGAGCAATACACAAACATGCTTCTGCAGGACAACAAAGATGTGGTCAACCAAAACAGTAAAAAGACAAGAGTGAGAACAAGGTTTATGAGCTCTGACACCTATGTGTGAGAGAAGGTATGGATTTGTAAGCTTCAAGAAAATGAGATAAATTACCTGGGTACACATTTCAACAGGTTTTTACATGTATTATAAGGGTACACTGACAAAAAGTCGTGACTAGGCAGACTGGAAAGAAAACGAATTCTTTCTTATGAAAAGTCAAACCGTAAGTGGGCCTGGGCCCAGGCAAACCAGCTCTTGGATTCTCTTGAGTGAGATCCCAGGGTTACAGGAAGGGCACCAATGTCTAATGACTCCTGCCCTCCTCTTTCAGTCTGAGGGGCGTGATGCTCCGAGATCAGCTTTCTCCAACTTAAACCTACATTTCCTTCCCCAAGAGCCATGCAACCCAGCAGCGTCTCTGTAAACACTCCAAACGCTGTTCTGTTGAAGTTGGAAATTGGGAACAAGGCCAGCTAGCCCTTCCATTTGGGTCACATTTTTACCTCTGATCTCCACCTCAGCCCGCTCTATGATGCCTCTGTCACCGGTAAGTCCTTTCCTTCTCTTGGTCCATCCAACCGCCACTCCCCTCACTGGCTAGATCCCCTTAAGTCACTATCACAGGCCCTGGGCCTCTGTACCTGCTGTCTTTTGTGCATTTTTCCCCCCTCCACAAACTATCAACTCTCCCCATCAAGTAGGTATGTCTAACTATGTATGTATCCACCTTCAAGTGAAGCTCTGAGACCGATTCTCCGGATCAAAACACAGCATTTTGGCTGCCCGTTTCAAGATGAGACGTTCATCAGGCCTGTCCCTAGTACAAATGCATGACTCGCTGGTTTTGCAATTAAGGGAAATGCTAACTGCTGGCAGTGTTGCTCACTGAGGACTGCCTGCTTGCCAGGGGAGTTCTGAGCACTTGGCACTTATCCTGACCAACTGTGAGGCATGCTCCTTTAGAGGGGAGGGAGGCTTCAAGAGAGTAAGGAACCCCCTGGGCAGATAGCATACCCTTAGGAAGGGACTCATCCCTTGGGTCTGAGGAATTGGCTATTACTAGGTGTCTGTACTATAGCACACTGCTCAACTTTTCATGTGCATACAAATTAGCACAGGATCTTGTTAAGTGCACATTCTGACTTAACAGAATGGAGGTCTGGAGTGGGGTCTGAGATTTTATACTAATACATCCCCCCCCCCCCAGTAATCATGAGGCAGCTGGGTTATGTATCACACCTTGAATAGCAAGGCACTTTCCCATGACAAAGACACAGCTCCCTTTTCATGGGCAGAATGATAGTTCAGTAGTTGCAATCATGGGCTCTCAAGTGATGACGTCACCCTGACACATTTGAGACCACATGGAGACGAAGAAGATACCAATCCAGAAGTAACAGTGGTTATGGAATGCATCCACTTCCATGTATTTTTACAGTAAAAATGAATTAAAAAAATCTTTCACAAAAGAAACTTAAAAAACACAAATAGGCTATTGAGTCCTCCTACCCCCTGGACATTCTTTCAGGCATCAGTTGTATTGGGGGGAAGGGGGTCCTAAATGGTTTGATTTAATCATACAAAATACTCATCCATCATACCTCATCAGCACTTGTACATGAAGTGGAAGGTTGGGGAGATAGGCTCACAAGAATCAGTTTCCAATAAAGGTTACAGTAGATTGAGGAGAATTCTACTTTTCTGCTTAGTGTACAGTTTTCCGTACTTTGAAAGTGCAGTACTTTCAAACCAGATCTGATGTACGGAACCAAGGTTAAATTGCTACAGCAGAATCCCCCAGATACTGAGACAGGCTCAGTTTAAATGCTCACTACCATTTCTTACAACGAAGACAGACATCTTGATGTTAACTTCAGGATACAATCCAAAATCCATCCTTGACTTTTACTTGCTTATAACCCATAGCCTGTGATCAAGAGAATGAACCAGTCACATCACGGACTGCGCTGGAAGTAGTGAGAAACATCCCAGCTGCAGAGCCGCAAGCATGACACCTCCAAGTCGGCTCTCAGGGAGCTGATGAACTAAACGTCTCCACTGAGTTGTCTTCCTCAGCATTAGTACTGGAGTCAATGCATGCTTGTAGGGAAAACTCTGCTAGTGAAAGTAGCAACCACAGACTCCCGCCCCCTTTAGCTACAGAGTGTACACCGTGTTTGATCCAGGAAAGGAACTTTGATCATGTCCACATAACTAGAGCTACTCAGTGTAATGTTATGTATAAACCCTAGGTCAAATCACGCTATGAACAATGCAATGTTTATCTGTGCATAGTGTTTTGTAAAAAAAAGATTGGCCCACACGCTGCTTTTCATCAACACAGAAAGAGCATTAAGCAAGAAACAAATGAGTGAAGAACAGAGAATGCAAATGAATGCTTGATTATTCATGAGCAGGCTCTCCATGGAGAAATGATAGCCCCCACAAACTAAAGCTTTACTGATTACTTATATAGTCTCCCATTTTGAAACAACTTTACATACCTGATTTAGTTTAAACTATATTCCCAAGAATCAGTCTGTTCATATTCAGAAATATAGACACATATCACATTCCTCACAGCTAGACTTTTGTCATAAATTCTCTTTTATACAAAAAAAGGCAACAGTTGTTTAATTTTTTTTCCAACAGGCTCTATTAATTACAATTTTAAACTCTACATACAATGATTGGCTGGTTTTTTTTTTTCTTTTTTCTCCCCTCCCCTAATACAGTACCATGGGAACAACAGTGATTGACTTGCAAAGTTTTTGTGTCTGAATGGGAAATGTGAAACAGTACTACAGAGATACAAACGCACTGTCAGCAGTGCTCTGCTGCAGCGGTCGGTCCAACAGGTCCAAGCAAACACTTTGGCTCAGCTAGGCAGTAATCCACTTAAACCACTTCTCAGGGCTACAGCTGACCCAGCCACACCTCCTGAGGGTTCAGAAAATGGGTCTATCTTAGAAAGAAAACCATTACATTTTATTTTGCTGTCCCCCCAAATAAAGAACAGGGTCATGGGGATGGAGGTTTCCCAGTTTCTTCCTTGCCCTTCCGTCCTTCAGACTTGGATTGCGCTTTCAAAGTGCATAGTCAGCTATGAAGGGAATAAGCAGCCCCAATGCTTTTTAAATATCATGAGAGAGGGTTCTTCCACCAACGTCCACTCCTCTGCTCCATGAGATTATGCTAAACCTTTCCATGTTGGAGACATTTACACCTCCCTCATCCCATAAGCATAAGGTCCTACATTCCATTTCCTCAGCTTCATATTGGACCAGACAACCCAGAAGCAGCTTGTCTGTTCCTTCTAGAGGATGACAAGCTGTGGCGGGCACTGCTGTAAGTGAGATGTATTCTGTGGTGGAGCTGATGAACCTGACCATCAGAGCTAAGGCTGTATTTGGTTAATGGCAGCCAAGCTTCTTGTTTCTGCACCTTCCTGGGCCAGGGAGAGCACAAACCATTCTTTGAACCAACTGTAACTCAAGATCATAAAATTTCTGAGCGCTGTGCACTGTAGTCATAAATATCCTTCATTTGCAGTAGTATTCTGTCACACAGCCTGACCACCCTAATCCATCCTAAAAGGTCCTCAGTTTGTACAAGTAGAACTTTACTTTTTGTGTTCTGCTTTTCTGAAAAACAAGGGTTTACAATACAGCACTATATCACTTCTAACAGTTTATACTGAGTTAGATTTAATTGCATTTACTTTGAGGACATGACCAACAGCCCCATTTTCTAGAAGAGAAAGATCTTGCCCCAAAGAGGAAACAATTCTCAACAATTCTATAGCTTGTGAAGAAACAAAATGTACATCCCTTTGGGCCATTATTTTGGCAAATGATTTTAAAAAAAAAAAAAAAAAAAGTATGCATTTAAAAATACTTTCTTTAATATTATACATCAGGCACAAGACTTTTCATATATATTTTTTTCTTATAAGATTTCAAATGCATAAAATGTCCATTACTATTCATAGGTCTGTCAGGTGTCAGATGCTGCCTCAGGTAAGAAACTAAACTATTTCATGTTTGCGACCTCCCTCTTAGAACCTTTGACACGGTAAAGGTTGCAATGTGACTCAGAGTCTCAGATGCTGAGGTCGGTGCTACATTCTTTATAAGGCCGCCTTCTCTGCTCCGGGGGATTTCTGGGGCTTCTCCCGGCATCAGCCTTCAGACCAGCCTCCTCCTTTTCTCGGTGGCCAACTTTGTCATCCCGGTTCCTTTTGTCCAGAGACCGCTCTCGCCTGCGCTCCGGGGACCTGGCCCTCCTCCTGTCGGTGGACTTGGCTCTCCTCTCAGGCGAGCCCCCTCTTCTGCGCTCTGGGGACCGTCTCTGATCCAGGAGTCTTTCGAGGGACCTCCGCCGGCGGCTGGGGGAGCTGTCTCTTCTCCGGGTGGGTGACCGCTCTCGCTTCCTCTCAGGGGACACCTCCCTCCTCTTCTCATGCCTCTCCCTCCTTTCCAAAGTGTTGTCAGCGCTGCGGGTGCCTTCCCGGCGCTTCTCCGGAGACCTCTTCTTGGGGCCATTGGTGGCTGTCCGCTCCGGCTGTGCGTCTCTCCATGCATCGGGTGGCCGGTCTTTGGGCCGGCATGCCCCACTGTCGGGTTTTCTAGAAGTTCCGTTCCAGGTGTGGTGTTCGTTGGGTTGTCTGCTGTGCTCCCTGCTGCCTTTTGGATCCTTCGCGTGTGCCCGCTTTTCCCCATGTTGTGATGAGTTGTGAAGATCGGGTGGGTAACTGGACTCCAAGGCCGGATGCGGTCTGCGGTCTGGCGGCCCGGGCCTCACTTCCGGAACACCTTGTGCACCGGTGGAGGGGCCGTTCCGGTCGCTGCTGGGGTCTGCCAGGATGAGAAATAAGAACAACCGTTTAACATGAAGGTCCTGGGCTCCCGGCCCCTGTTCCCTCCCACACTTGACTCATTAGTCACAACAAACAAACAACTGTTAAAGCAGATTCAAAGCCAACTGAATCTGGGTTAATTTAAGAATGACTGCAACTAGTTAGGATTAAAGACTAGCACTATGGCTTTCAACATCTAGCTGACTATTCCCCACGCCCTGAAGACAGACCATCCAAGACATTATAAATGGTTTTAGTGTTTAAAAGGCAGAACTGGAAGGGTCTGTCTAGAGGTACCAGAACTACCGCACCCTGACGAACACCTACTCTCCCCTGGCCACCCACCAGCTCTTTCCCAGCCTTTGTCTTTCTTCTGTATCCCTCCAATACCATTTTATTTGAACAATACTTGTTCTGCTTAAAATTAACCTAGAACACAGACCTGGATGGGCATGAGGAAAGCTTTCTGAGGGTTAAAATTAGTCGCTGGCTTATCTGGATGGTGACCTAACAAGCAGGAGGACGAGCCACTGAGGATCTGCATGTCACAGAAAAAACTTCTCCTTTTAGAAAATGATCCAGGGTATTGGGCAAAGGGGGTTGTCTAGGCAACACACAGGGCAGATGTTAACTGTCAAATGTGACACCAGCTTGAAGGGCCACCGAATTACTTTTACATTTTACTATTTTGTTTACTTTCGAGTAAAGTGAAAAAAATAAGGAACTGTATTTTAAAAAGCTTTCTGCCAGAAAAAAGTGAGGGGGGATAGGATGTTAGATGCACCTTTGAAGTGAGTTGGGACTTACAAAATCTCTACATTTAAAACACCTTTCCTTATGATGTAAGAAGCAACCATAATGATATGCAAGAGCTGTGGACTCATCGGACTGCTTCTCAGTTCACTCAGGCACCCACAGATCTAAATGCTGGACAGCCCGTGACAAGTCCCACTTATCATTAAACTATCTGAACTGACACCACAACCCTTTAAGGCAGCATCTTGAATTTATGTGAGCCTTTGCAAAGCGGGATGTTTTGTTGCAATGATGAAACTATCAAGTTTTGGGTGCCTGAGCTGCTGAGCTGCAACATGGGATGCAGGGCTTTAAAAACATCTCTCATGAGACAGTCAGGACGACAGTAACCGAATGGTCTGTCTCGTGAAGGAGCTCTCCAAAGCCAGGACAAGCTCAGTGAAGGGAGAGAGAGAGATAGCTTAGAACACGAGCCCTCACAGTCTTAATTCTTTTTACTGCGAGGGGGGCTGCTAATACTCATTTGGGGTCAGCAATCCCTCTTTAAGGTTGACCAACTGTGGTGCAAAAAGATTTTTTTAAAAAATGGGTGTGCAATCTGCCAAGAAAACTTTATTTACAACACCAGGTTGTGGTTCACAGGCTGGAGTTTGCTGAGAGACCCCTGAACAACCAGGAAATCTCCTCTTCCTGTCCAGCAAAGCCTTACCCACCAGGGAAGAGCTCCATGATGAGGCTCGTTCTCTCTAAAGGCTGGGTGTGCTACCGGGACAGAGACAAAGTCATTCCACACTTGGGGGAGAGAAGCACTCGGGTAGCTGCACAGCTAACCTACGCTCTTCCTCTATTCTCAAGACAAGGGAGCGCAAACCTCGACGGGATCAGCCATGTACTTACAATTCAAAGAACGCAGGGTGCTCAGAATGAATTGCCAAACATATCAAAATAGAGCTAAGCAGAAGCAATGAGGAAATTAGGCCACAGCACAGAAACACCTAGTATTGATTGAGCTACAAACCGTAGTTTGATTATGGCCCATAAGGTAGAAGCAAGCCTCCCCGAGCTTTTCATTTCTCATACATGCAGCGATATTAGGAGGTATCATCGCTGTAGGAGGGAGGGCCCAGCACCAAGAACAGTCAGAGAGAAGGAGAGAGAGAGAGAAAGAGAAAAAGTTGAACATTTAGATTCCCTATAACAAGAAAGAGAGAAAAAAAAAATCTTCATTTGTTAACATAGGGCAAAGAGAGTTTATTTGTCCGGTCAGTCTAAGGCAATACCCAAGGCTGCAGGGACCGACCGCAATTGAACAATGACCTTTTTAGATAGCTGTAAGATGACTCCAAAACCCAGATGATGATGCATCCTTTTGTTTTTTTTGTTTTGTGATTTTTTTTTTTCAAACAACTGGAACAATGACAGGCTGGCATAGGAGAGCATTAACAATAAACAACCAAAGAACCAAGTCCCCCCCCCCCCCCCCCCCCAATACCGCGGCAGTTAAATTAAGTACAAAAAACTCATTACAAAAATAGCCTCACAGAGAAGCAGGTTCCAGTCAAGTCAGAAAAATATTGGAACTTAACATATTATAACCCATTTGTAACTCTAATCAATAGAATTAGAGAGATTTAGTCCAAATGACGCATGGAAACATTACAGTAGCACAACCCTGGCATGTTCAACCCTTTGTGGAAAACCATGTAGTTCAATGATCTTTATTTTTAGCCCAAAGAACATTTGTTAGTGTTGGATTTTCATCCTCAGTGCAACAGACATAGGTTTGGAGAAGATACACAGGTTACTGACGATGGCCCTCAAGTGAGACATCACATCCGACAGAAGCATAGGAAAGACAGAAGAGGGAGACAGGTTACACAGGGTCAGTGGTATCCATACACCGAGCGGTCACAAGTTCAGCACAGGGCGCAGCCATGGCACCTGGTGTTGCCATTAAGGTTCCCTCTGCTTGGACATCCACCCTCCCCCTTACCTCCGACCCCTCACATTGTGCACTGGTACCAATGTCCAACACCTGGAAAGGCTGCCCTGCGAAGGGGCCACTCTCCTCCTTGAACTATGTCTGAAATTGAGCATCTCATTGAGCCCAAAATGCATCTGGGAATTGTGCAGAAAGACGTTCAGAAAAGAGGGTGATAACAGATAAATCCCGAATAAAGGGGACCAATGTATATGGGGATCTTTCAATCACAGTTTCTATAGAAACCTTTGTAGACCTTTGGTTGGGAAAAAAAGCCCTACATCTAGGGCATAGCTTCCTTTTTTTTTTTAAATTTAAAATTTTAAACAAGAATCTCAAATAAATAGGACATAATTATCACAATATACAATATTTTGCCATCAGAACACTAAGCTAGGTAAAGAGCATCGCTGTCTACTCAAACTACGTTAAAGATACGACAGAGGAACTCTTCGTATCGCCTGGCTTTCCTCATAGGAAAGGTATAGTAGCATGTTTCCCTCATGATGAGCGCTGGGAATCGATTCCATCCTTTATCATTTAAAAACATATGGCTAATAGATCAACATTTGTTTGTTGTTGTTTGTTTGATAGTGTGGGCTCAGGTGGTCTGATTTGGGGTGAAAGACCAGTTGAGAGGGACAGAGAACTGTCATATACAGAGTCTAAACAAAGTGAGCAAAGCCCCCCAATCTCAAAATTTCACACCTCTGCAATAAAGTAACAAGAAAAACAAAACAAAAAACAGAACAGAGCAAAACAAACAAAGAAACAAACCCAACTAGATATTGTGCCTCAACACCAGTCAGGCAACCTGCTTCTTTAAAGGACTGTGTAGTCATTTGTGCTAACAATTGGATCTGAGAAACAGTTTGGCACAGTTCCACAAACATTCCTTCGCTCCTGGTTGGACTAGACAGAATGTTCTCTCTGATTATCAGAAAGGGGGCTATCAAGATCTTGTCTTAGGCCATGCCCCAGTCCATGTAAGCAAGCAAAGGATGAAATGTGTAGAGATTTCAGAACAAGCGCGGCAAATAACCACATGGTGCGAGAGGCTGGTAAGACACTGGTGAATAGGGGAACAAAAAAGGACTTTCCTGCTGCCGTTCTGGAGACAAACTCATGGAGTCATGCCAGGGAAGGAAGGGATGTTTTCATAGTTTGACCCACCATATTCTGGGACTGAGCCGTCTCCCCGCCTCAGAAACAGACGAACTCTGCGGCCACCATTCTTTATCAGTTCTATGGCCCGAGAATGTTTCATGTTTTTGGTGGTCTCACCATTGATCTCTAGAATTTCGTCACCAATCTGTCAGAGCAAGAGACAAAGGGAAATGGTCACACCAGGTTCTCATAAGCTATGGAAGTCTTTTTGACTCAGAATTCTTCCCCTCACTGGTTCCCCACACACACATTAGGCATATTCCAGAATTTCTTCTATTGCTCAGGATGTAGCAGTGAGAATATTCAACCCCCATGGCACTTAGATTCTAATGAGGGAAAGGCAATTTGCGGGAACACTATACAAGTAGTATGCTACACAATGTTAAGTGCTAACGGCGGCAAAAGAGCTGTAAGAGACGAGGAGTTACTGAGGAGGACACCGCATGGCCCCGACTGAGGGTCTCTGCTCCATGTAGGGACACTTGGGTGCAATCTCCTTTACTCTGGATGCGGGTTAGAACTAGTGGGTTGTCTCGAATCACAAGAATATGGTAAACGTGACAGGGTATCAGGTCAAGGCGTTAAAAATAATTGTCTTCTGTCTTTCTTGTCCTTTGTTCTCTCATTTGCTCTCTCTGATGCATGTTGTGGGGTGCCTACTGTGGTCAACGTGTTCCTCAAAGGCCCTGTGTTGAATGAAGACTTTGACCCATAGTCTGCGATGCTAGCGATCAATGGTAGCAGAAAAGGAAGTTAGGTGACTGAGGACATGTCCTTGAAGGGGATGCAGGCAGCCTGACCTCCTCCTCTCACTCTTTCCTATTTCCCATGAGGTAAGGAGTTTTGCTGTGCCATACATCCGTCCACCTCCCTATAACACTCTGCCTTCCAAACAGGCCTCAAAACAGGAACCTCTGAGACTGGGGGGCACGATATGCTTCTCTTCATTTTAGGCTTATTTCTGTAGGCATCTGGTTCTGAAATCTGACTAATATATCACCCTATGGAGTTCCATGATAAGAAAATGAGAGAAAAGCCCAGTGTGGTGGCAAATGCCTTTAATCCCAGCACTTGGGAGACACATTAAGAGCCAGGCGGATCTCTGTGAGTTCGCGGCTAGCCTGGTCTACAGAGTGAGGTTCAGGACAATCAGGGTTACACAGAGAAACTCTGACTCAAAAACCAAAACCAAAACACAAAACAATAATGACAATAAAATAAAAAAAAAAAAAAAGAAAAAAAAAGAACACGAGAGAAGACTCCAAGACTCCAGCCACAGGCTGACAGGCACGCAAGCCTGGCAACAGCCACACGAATGAGCTCAGAAGAGAAATCTTCCATGTGAGTCTTCCACGTACCTTCCTAGGCACTGTGCAAAATCAGAATGAACAAAACAGGCCCGAATCTGATTCACACACAGCTTACATTCTAGAAGAAAGAAGAGGCAAAGGACTGGCTTTGGAATCCACGCCACGAGCTTGGATCCCATCTCATGTCTGTCAAGTAATCGATTCCAGGGCCCTTCAACCTCCTGCAGCTCAGTTCTTCTACTGCAGAGGGGGATGAAAACAACCCCATGCTACAAAGCTCAAGGAACCAGGGGATAAATGTGTCTTAGGAACTGTGCACAGCTGTATAGTGATGCTATTTCATACTATTAGAAACGGTTTCTTCCAAATAGCCATCATTTTTCACTGCTTAATTCTAAAATCTATGTTCTGCTTCCTCAATTAAGAAAAGGCTCAGTTTGGGGCCAGTGAGATGGATCAGTAGGCCAAGGCCACAGGCAAAGTCTAAGGAGCTGAATTTGATCCCTGGGACCCACACTATGGAAGGAGAGAACTGACTCCTGAAAGTCATCTTATTGGCTCCACATGTATGCCTACAGACACATATTCACATATACAAGAAGCAGAATAATATACAAAAATAAGAAACAACAAACAAAAAGCCAAACACTTTAGTCTGAAAATGGAAAAACAAGTATAAACACATTATTGAGTTCCTCACTCTTGGCTTAGTGTGTGTGTGTGTGTGTGTGTGTGTGTCTTTCTGCTCAGGCAGCTCACTTTTCTTCCTTTCCTGATGATCTCTTAGCAGCTACAGTGGCTCCCTAAGTGTTTCAAGTTATGTAACTTACCTAAATGCCATGATTTGCCTCTTTTCAATCACCCAATCCACACAGATAGTAACAAACATTAAACAGCTCAAAAGAACAGAGAGCCCTGGGTCTGTGTCTTTTCAAATTCTCGGGCTGGGTATGCCCAAGCTGTGACATGAGGGCACACATGGCAGAGGAGGGCTATAAATGTGGCACAACACAAAACTCTTACTCAAAACTTTGAGATTTATTTTTGACAATTTTTTTTTTTTTTTTTTTTGGTAACTTGATTTCAAGGTTCTGGTATGTGACCTTTGTAGATCATAATGTTGTTTCACAATTTTAAAAGGGTTGACACCCCTGTAGCAACTCCCAATGTATTAGAACTATTGACCCCATTGGGGTCTAGGGTTGACTGGGAGTCTCTGCGGCTAAGGACAGGCAGCTGGTGACCAGCTAGAGAAAGAATGAGCTCTCTACTCAGAATCTATAGGGCTACTTGGATTTCCTCCTTTCTATGCATTCTGCACTGTCCAGTTTCTTGTCATAGGATGTGCCTACTGTAAGAGACTAAGTCCAGAACAATGGGGAAGGCATTAAAAAAAATACCCACTTTAAGTATGCTTTAGAAAGAACCATGACAGGAGCCATACATTCAGTGTCCTGAGGGCTGTGGAAATGTCAAGCAGCGACCACAGATGACACATGTACAACCACTGCAGCCCCCTCTCTACTTACCCTCATCTTTCCACATCTTTCTGCAGGACCATCCTCTGCTAAGCGCAGAACATAGAGGTCCATATTATACTCTCGTCCCCCTCGAAGACTAAAGCCAAATCCCTTGGCTCCTCTTTCCAGTTCCACAGTGTAAAAATCTTGCTCCTATTTGAAGAAATGAAATGCAGTCATTCTGGGGGAACTTAGATCCCCACCCATTTCTCTTAGTGACCTTGCAGAAAGGCACAGACTCTATCTGCAACTCCCGTCTTGTGACTCTTGTTTATTAATCATCCGAGGAGTTAGGAATCCTGCATGTGTAAACATACACGAGCATGTCTTGACACATGCATACACTTTCAACACTCAGTAAGGCTGCAGTTGACATTTGAGGCAGGAAAATTTTCCATTTCATCAGCCCAACCGCTGGCCGCTGTGTTGCTGGATGGCCCGCCCATACCTGGTAAATGCTAGCGGGGCCCTAAGTCCGCCTTTAGAGATGAGGGCCCCGTTTCCATTCTGATTGGAGAAGGCCAGCAAAAAACATTTACCTCTGGATCACCCCTGTTCCTCAGATTTGCATCACTGGCTGTTACTTGTGCATTCCCAGCCTGAGGACAGGGCTTGCACTCTAGGGGGTCTGATCTGAAATTCACTAGCTAGAGGAATGTCTCCTACACAAAGACACTTGCTCGGCAGCAGTAGCAGGTTTTGAAAAGCATGAGGAGCGAGACACTAGCTGTCTTGCTTCTCTGATCCCTGAGTCTTGTGACAGCCTTTCTTCCTTCTCCCTCAGAAAAGAGCACCTAGGAATATTTTTCAAAGGCAGTAAAAACAAAATGTCATTTTTGAGACAATCAGATTTGAGCACACATCTGGTTAAACCACCTCCCCCCCCCAAAAAAAGGCTGTTTATTTCCAAATAAGGGTTCTTTGAAGACGTCTTCCTAAAGCTAGCTAGCTTCAGGAAGTTGGAGGGCAATGAGGAAGATGGACAGAGAAGGGGAAGCGGCCCTCACCTGTGCAGTCTGTGGTCCCTTGAACTCAAACTGAGAATCCTGCTTTGGTTTGGTGGTATTCCTGCCAAAAGGACAGACACACATATAACAGCAATCCAAGGGGAGACAAGAAAGAAAAGCCAAAGATGTGGGTACATGAGGCAGGAGCTACTTTATCCCTTCAACAATGCTGATGACAACAATAACAGTAACAACAGAGGGCCCAAGCCACAGCTGACCTGGTTTCCTGGGTCCCCTGCTGAGAAGGGGCATGAGTAGTGGTGATGGTGGCGATCTTCTCAGCATTGGTCAGCAGTGTGGCATTTGAGGACTCTGTAAGGCAGAGCATAAAGACATGAGGGCCTTAGAGAAGACATCAACCAACTGGGAGGCATGCAGAAACCCTGGACCGAGATGAAAAAGACTGACTTCTCTGTCTCCATTTCCAAGAGTTGACTAAAACGTCTAAACAATCAGGTGGTCCGTGAACCTTCCCGAAGACCATGCGTCTCCCACAACTCTCCTCCCCACCAGACATTTCCCTAGAAATGTAATGTGGCTTAAACAGCTGGATCACCCCTGTCCTGCCACTGGAAGGTGGCGGCATGTGCCATCAGAGTACTGCGCCACATTGGAGTTCACGAATTTTACAGGATGATGATAAACAGCTTTGCTAACTTCTCTTGCAATTTACCGGCTATATTTGGCTGAGTCTGCTTGATTTCCTTGTCTGAATACGAAAACTCAGAAATGCTGTGCCATCTTGTTAAATACACAGATCTACTTTCTTCCCCACTGCTTCTAATGACGCCCAACTGAAAAGATGGGATGTTTGACAAATTTCATTTAGTATCTCTTTGAAAGATTAATTTTAAGACTTGCATTAGCATAACCAGTGTTTATAAATATAAGTCATATAAATTATGAAGCCACCTTAATGTAATGAAAACAATTATATTCATATGTAAATTGACTTTCTTCTCCACTAATCAAATTCAAAACCAACTTCATTAATCTCTAGAAGTTTAGAGGCTCAGAATCTGAAAATACTCATGAATGTCACCATGCTCTGCATACTGACATGCATGTAAAATACAATCACTTGTTAGCAATGGCTAATCATTCTCTATTTACTAATCATTTGCTAATTTCTAATCATTTCTCTATTTAGATCAAGCCGGCTGGCAGCTAACCATGAGCAAATCCTACTTTCAGTATTTATTTTTAAATTGACACTGAAACTTAGTGTAGATTTTCTAATCAGGAAAATACTAACCGTGGTTGTCAAGTTCTAGTGTGAGTCTGTACATGCCCATTTCATTCATGGAGCACCTAGGAAACTCAAAGTCCTATGATTCGTAGTTTAGCATTTGCTGAATACAAATCTCTACCTACCAGGTACAATAGGTTTCTATGGGAAAATGCTTTAGGTATTCTAAGCCTAGAAACCTGGACTATATCTTTCTCTACTGAATTATTGAAACAAAAGACAGCCCCTGCTTATCTCAACTGCTGGTGGTCTATCTTCTGTTTTCATTCCTTAAGCATGTAGTCAGCTAGTATCTAACTACCCAGTTCTTTATTTTTCATTATATGCCATGCATGAGTTTCTAGATCTCAGACACAGATTCAAATCACTGCTTTCCTCCTCATTAGGTATGAGCCTGATTTTTCTTATTTGGTGAAAGGCGACCTACCCCTGCATGTGGATGAAGGGCCTGACATGTATGTCATGAGTGTCCAGTGTGTATCTACTCTACCTCTGGGCCTTGCTACTATAGTAAAAACATTTTATTAGCTTCTCTGGGAGCTTCTTAAAGCTATTTGAGCTCTCTGCAAAATGACAAAGTTTAATCTGATTTTTTTTTTTTTTTATAGTTTCTAGTCTAGCCCCCAAAGCTTATTACTCGTACAGCCAAGGCACAAAAATCTAACTGGATCCAGAGAACTGCTTCTGTATCCCAGTCATGTTTCAGGACCGTGTTCCCCAGAATCTGTTCTTAGCAAATGTTTCTGCAGCTATCAGGGAAAGAGTGTGTGGTCAGTTAGGAAGTAAGATGTGAGACAAAGGGGAACCTGCCTCGGGGCACCTCTTGGGCTTTCTCTATTTGGTACGGATACGATGTGCCCCGTGCCCTCTGAGTGGGGAGGTGGTGTGCAAGTCAGCTGAGAGGCAGACTGCTCAGTGGTTGCAAGGTCAGACTGCATAATCTCGAAGCTTGTTCTGCATCCTACACTCTGCAGCTTACTGCACAGGGCTTGGATAAGATGACGTAAGCATTTGCTGCCTCAGTTCCCTCACTTTACAAGAGGAACAACGGAAGTCTCGAAGGAAACTGGTATAATGATTATAAGTCAAAAATACGATAGTGCTGGACACATAGATATTAGCCAAAATGGTAAAAATATGTGGGGGCATTTATTGTTACTACTTATTACCATCATCGTTATTAATATTGGTGAATTTTAATGAATTCTATTAAAAGACTGCAGGAACACCAGCTCATTACATCACTTCCATACCAGGGCAGCTAACCTGGAGAACTGAGGTGTAAGTCTAACTGGTATTTCATAAAGCAAGTTCACTGTGCCAGTACAAGATGCAGGGGTAGCACAGCCTGTCAGTATGACTCTCCGGAACATTTATGACCATGGACACTGGTCTCTTATCACACTTCATAGTGCTCACGGTCATACACTGCATAAAGATTATCCAGGAAATTATGACGGTGTTTGGGCCATAATGAAATCATAAGTGGGACAAAGAAAAATGTTTCTTTGTAATTAAAGTGATTATAATTGCTGAATGAATTCCTTTAGAATGTTTGTGTGCTGTTGGTCACCAGCATTTTCTGGGCACACTGAATCCCATTGTGAAGCAAATTTTGTATTTCTGTTGTTTTCGTGATTTGGTGGCATATGATAATCGCCCACTATACATATAAATAGAATGCCAGCAATAATTTTCCTTCAGTTCTTTATTTGTGATGTTTCACAATGCAAATTGTTTGGGTGTTGAAGCTCAATTTTCAACATTCAAAACACATTAACACTTAATATGCTACTGTGAGTTTGATGTATTTTCCTTCTCCCATGGTTTATCTTACTAGTTAGTTTACAGTGTGCAAAGCAAACACTGTACCTTGTAGGTCCCCTATGCTAATCACCTATCATTCGATTCTTCTCTCTCCATAAAGCAAGCAGCTACAATGAATGTCTCACTTTACAGATGAGGATCTGAGGCACAGGAAGATAAATAATACACTTAAGATCTCCCAGGAAGCAAGTGGAGATGCTGGGACATGAAGCCAAGGCTTGTCTCACAGTTCATTTCCAAAAACTTACTTTATTTTGCCTGGGAATTATAATTATCAAGAAAGTCATACCCAATTGGTACATTCCTTTCAAATAAGCAATGCTTTAATTTTACTACATGAATATCAGTACCTTCATTAATCACCATGAATGATTCCTTAAAATATAACCTATCCCTGTCTACTGGATTTTATAAGCCATCTTCAGAGCATCAAAATAACTTAAATAGGCTTGATTCCAGTATGCTTTTACAATATCAATACAATTATACTTATTTTCCATAAACATTTAAGTCTTCATTTGGAATTAAACCAAGATTACATCTGCCAAACACTGTCCAACTTTTAAAAACACAGATACAGCCCATTATCAACATTATATTGTAGCTCTAGCTCCCAAGCAAAATTTGCCTTGTATAAGAGACAAAGTACCAAGGGGCCTGAAAGAAGAGCACACGTTTCCCTGTACGCTGACAGCAATGGTACAAGGGAGAGTCACATCGCATGTGACTGTCTCAGCTTTCTGGCAGTGAGCAGCCTGAGCATTTTGGTGACAAAATCTAGACAGTGCCTATACCCTTTATTATTAATACCCTAATAATAATTAATATTATTAAATAGCATTTATATCTCCCAGAGGAACGAAGATGGATAATACTACATTTTTTAAATCCATCACACATCATGAAAAAAGCACACCTTAGCTCTCAAGGCACTGTGGAGGGCTATTCTAAGCCAGGGCACTTACTCTTCTGACAGGAGCTTCTACCTCAGGTTTCAACCTACTCCCTCCCGCCCGCCCCCCGACAAATGGTTACCATGCTAACCTCATTCCCATACTAATATTCTTACCTTCCCCGATGAAATATACATTCAAAAGCCAAGCAAATCAACAAAGGATGCAATCTTTTTTTCATAAATACTTTAACTGCAAACACAATAAGTATCTGGAAACAGCATGGGAAAACCTAAATCCTATGCATATGTGACACTGTTGGGAGCTTTTTACTATTCCTCCTCTTCTCCCAAGGAAACCACAGAATCTGTACTGCCAAGCGCTGACTTATCTATAAGCAAATACTTTAAATAACAGTGAAATGAAATATTAGTTACATTTTTAAGCTCACACAATTTTTTATTATCTGGAACTTGATTCTGTATTAGCCAAGCTCATCATGGTCTATTCTACCTGATTAAAGTCTCATTCCCACTTAAACCGCACAGGCATTTCTATGCATCACAGGTATTGTTTGATTCTGAAGATTCAAGCTCAGATTCAGTACGTTCAGCTATCTTCTAGGCCTTTCTGAGATGTCACTATATATTTACTGGCCCTTGCTCATAATCATAGAAGAGGCTCTTCCTCTACTCTACCATCCTTCTTGATCACTAACATATAAAAGGCAGAGAGGTAAGGGGTCTTGTTTGGTACAAGATCTGTGAAAGTAAAGATGATGTCCTGCATCAGCGGTTCTCAACTTGTGGGTCACGACCCCCTCGGAGGTTGAACGACCCTTTTACTGGGGTTGCCCAAGACCATCAGAAAACACAGATACTTCCATTGTGCTACACTATGATTCACAACAGCAGCAAAATTACGATTATGAAGTGGCAATGAAAAAGTTCTATGGTTGGCCCTTTATGGTATTGTTAGGAAGGTTGAGAACCACTGGCCTAGGGGGAAGTAGAGTAACGGAGATTAGGGACAGGATGAGGCATCTAAAGACAGGAACAGAGAACCAGGCAGCAGGAGTTAAACAATGCAGCCAGGGTGGTGGCTCATGCCTGTAATCCCAACACTCAGGAGGCTGAGGCAGAAGGATCTCAAGCTGGAGGCAGCCTGGGCTACCCAGTGAGACCTTGTCTCCAGATAACACCAAAAGAAATAAACAAACTAACAAAGCCAAAGACATACATCCAGGGCATGCTTTTAAGCATTGCCCAGATACTAAAGTGAGGATCAATGGTCTTGCTGTGCAGGCCTAGGGTTCCTGAGAACAGTACCAAAGAGCATGGATTCACTGTGGTTCAGAACTTCAGCCTCTTTGTAGATATCATTAAATGACTGGTCTTTAGGCTATTCGGTACAGTGACCATTCAAATGAAACATCCAAAGGAGACCAGAGTTCCCTAACTCCAAGAGCTGCCCGCCTCACTTCCCAAACCTGTCCTACACAGAGGAAACGGATCCAGCAGGGTTTCTCCCCCACAAGACGGTGAAGACCATTCTCCCTTTCCATGCTTGCCACAGTCACTGGAATCTGAACTCCCTTGCCTCAGGCTCCAGTTTCAGACCCTCTAATGAATGAACATCACATGTTCTTCCCATGCCTTCACCTGGCTCCTGACAGTCATTCAAGTCACTGTAGACAGTTTTATTATCATTGCAATGATTTCCTGAAACACCATGGATAAAATCCACATTCTTAGAGAGCCCATTCTGCCTTACAAACAAACAAACAAACAAACAAACACTGTCTTCTAATCAAAGTAGGGTATAGAATGCCTTCCTGAACTTGACATTTAAGTATTAGTTTTAAAAGTCTTTTTAACTGTTAATTATTAGTGGCCATCCCACTGCATACTCTGTATTGTTGGTGTTCAGGTTTTCAGAAAGTCTGTTGTCTATTATTATTATTAAGTTGATTCTTGGTGTCCACACTGTAGTATGAGTTGACTTTCCTGACTTCAGACTTTAGCACTTGCTTTCAGGAGGTCCCCTGCCTACCTGCCTTCGTTTTTGAGACATTCTCATTCTCACATCTTGATTGCCCAGGACCGAGTCAGTAAGTGAATTCCCATGCTCAGTTCTTTGTTGTTGTTGTTTTAAACATCTCTTCGTGACATGTAACCTATTTAAATACTACCTCTGGCTCTCAACCATTTTTCACTTCTTCTCTGGCTTCCCTTTTCTGTTCCATTTGGAATCTAGGGCTCTGCCATTTTGTGATCACTTTTGTAAACTACAGTAGCTTTCCAGAGAGGCAAACTGGTGGAATGGCCTCTGCACCAGATGGCAAATTACAAACCATGCATTTAAAGAAGGTCATGCATACAACCACTTAAGGAGATATATGTTCTCCTCCACAATAGGCACAGGGTATTTTTTTTAGAGGAAAGTACTTTGTTCTGAGAATACACAATTTTTTTTTTTTTTTTAAATTTTTGGTCAGAGCTGAGGACCAAACTCGGCCTTGCGCTTGCTAGGCAAGCGCTCTACACTGAGCTAAATCCCCAACTCCCACAATTTTTAAATATGTATTGGCTTTGAAGTTAACTTTGAAAAAGCACCAGCTCTGCCATTCAACTTCCCAATCCTAAGTATCACTCACTATAAAGTAGCATATAAAATATTCATTGAAATTATGGCATTAGTGCTCTTCATCTTGGGAAACATGCTTTAGAATGTAATTTACTTTGTAGCATGTATGGAAATAATGGGGAGACAATTAAATGTTTTGGGATAAGTATTAGCTTCTTCCTAACATAAAGCTGGCATAGAATGAGATCACTATTCAGGCTGTACGTGGACAAGCAACCCACCCTCACTAATATCAGCACATCACCCTCACTTTTGCAGTTATGAATGCTAGTCTTTTATACACAGTGACTTCTCACTGTGGGGGATGCTCTATGCACTGGGGGATATTTGGGACTGTCCCAAGCCTTCACCCATTAGAGGACACTGAACAAACTGCAGGCATGGCCAGAGGTCTCCTGGGACAGAACTGCCAGTGATGTAAAAGAACCCAAAGTATTAATTTAACCAGTTAAGTAAACAAGGGTACTTCAAGTTTAATGTATATAATCTGTCAAAAATAGACATCCAATCTTTCTTAATCCATATTGAAAATTTATAGACAAACCAAGTAGGCTATGGCCTACTGTTCATTAAATCACAAGTATTAGAAAAATAAAGTAAGTATTGGCTCTGCATTGTCATTAGATGGTTTTTGTGATGTCACATTTTAGTGATTGTTTCAAAAAATTACATTATAAAAAAACCCCAGATTTCCAGCTAGACTCTCAAGTCAACATTACTACCCATAGTAAAGTTTTTCTATATCATTGGAAACAAAAAGAGCAATGGAAAAAATAAACGGAGAAAGTTGAAGGTTTTTCTGGAATATTTTATATCTGCATAAAGATGGGATCACAGAGTGACAGGATTAATTAGGTCAGAGAGTGAGAAATGGTTTAGTAACAATGGCTCTGGTTCATTTGATAGGTATGTCTCGTTAGGGATAGATAAAGCTGCCTCTATATCAAAATCAAACAATTACATGAACACTAATGGGGTGGGGGTGGGGGTGAAAGAGAAAGAGAGAGGAATGAGAGAGAGAGATAACAGTATACTTTACCATCCCCGGGGATGATCCGGAGGGTCACTGTGTTGCCCGCTTCTTTGATTAGGTTGACAATGTCAGAATGGGATTTGTTGGTGATGGAACATCCATTTACTGCCAAGATCCGGTCTCCTACTTTCAGCTTGCCACAGCGGTCAGCAGGGCTCCCCTCAATAATCCGACCTATTTTGTGAGGCATAGCCACACATGCATTGCCTGCTTTGGTATTGCGTTTTCATTTTGTTTTAAAGTTATGCGGGGATATAGTGAAGGGAGGAGAAAAGGGTCGGAAAGGGAAAGAGAAGGTTAAGTGTTAATTAATTAAAGCATTAAGCAAATGTTATTAGAGGAGAGTGCTGTGCTGATGGTCAAAACATTGGCAATACTCAGGGTGTTTAAAAAGCCACAGCTCTGAGACTAGAGTTCAAGGTCATCGTCTTTTTCTGATTGAAAATGATCACAAAACCCAGCTTCTCTCCTTAAAGCAGTTAGAATTTGGGATATTTGGCAACTTGAATCTTGAGACCCCAAAGAACTTGGTGGCCGTTAGTTTATTTGGGGCTATAAACATAAACCCCCAAAGCTGGGGTGGATGCTTTTACCCACTCTGGGTTCCTATCCCTTCATTTGCCAATTTTTATTAAAGCGTCTGCCAATGTTTTGTTCTTTCTCCATTTACAAAAATAATCACTGGACTTTGGGCGAGATTTAAGAGTCTGCTAGCGTTCATTGTGAAAACACAAGGTGGACCGACCCCTTGGCTCTCTGTGTGCAGAGATGAAAGCTTTGGAAAAGGGCATAATCATCGGAGGTGAGCCCGGAGAGCACCAGCACCAACACATACTGATCCATGTGGGACCTTTGTTCAATCAGCCCAAGTAGGGAGCTCTCAGGGCGGCCCTGGTGGGCTCATTAGCTCGGATCCCCTTCCTGCCTCACAAACAAATTCCCTTAAAGGGACATAGTGAAAATCCAGCACCTATTCACACTTAGGATAGCAAAGCAAAGCTAGCCTCCAGTCATTCCCCAGCTCCCTCTCTTTCATCATCTCCTCTCTACTCATCGGCTTACACACATACATACATAATATGAAACAGAGGAAAGGGATCTGCGGGTGTGTGTTTATTGCATGTTTGAGGCACTCTATTGGGGGAGCCGTCTTTGAGGAGTGCCCTGAGATAATCAGGTATTTATTTGTATAGTGAGTTCCAATGTTTTTATGCAGACTTTTAGAATTTGCTTTCTCGGAACTATCAAAACAGCTTCCTGGTGGAGCCACCTTTTGGAAACGGTGACAAAATTAATAGGGGAGACTATAAAGTCAACTGTGCAGGCTCCTTCATTGTAATTTCTACCTGAAGGGAAAACTATCGGAAAAACACACTTTGACTCCTTTGAATTTGAATGGAGAAGTTGACTGAGTCTGTGTGGAACACCAAATTCAATTCAAAGAATTTTAAAAAGCAAGTGAGCTGTCCATGAATCAACAGAGGAGGCACAGTGGAAGGGAAGAGTATCCAATTCCAGGTCCTCTCGGCTCTCGGCTCCAAGGACAACTTGCAGGACAAAGGTCTCAAACAGCAGGCATGAAGAAAGGCTCTGCATAGCCCAGCAGCCTCGTGCAAGGTGTTAGGGAAAGTTGAATTTGTTGATTGTAAGAACGAAGGGAAAATAATCGAAGACCAAACTGTGAGTGAAAGCATCCAATACTCATCATCCAGCACAGAGCCTGTCACCTGACATACCTGCTGCTTCTTTCTGGAGACTGAAAATGAGAACTATGATAAAGCTGAGAGGGTCAGGGGGGACACTGCAGATTGGGGGAGCAAGAGCTTGCGATTTCTTTTCCCTCTTTTTTGTTACTCCTAAAGTCAGCAGAAAAGTCTTTGAAAGTAATTTAAAAGCAAAGCAAAATAAAACAAAATAAAAACTGGTGCCTTGATGTCAGGTCACGCACTGTGACAGGCTGTAATGACTTCATCTTCGCAACTCAGAAAAGCATGGTTAGTGATGGGCGGTTGTTACTGCAGTCACACATGTGCAGAACAGGCTGGCTGTCTCCTTTAGCAAGAAGCAGCTCATCAAGACTAAATGGAGACAGCGTGGGTTCTACCGGATCAGAATGTTAAAGAGATATAGGCCCTTGTTAACTTAAGCCAATGAGTGACCTAGAACACTGGCCAAGAGGTCCGGTGTGGATAAGCCATTGGAGATAAAATCTGAAGCCTGCATAATAACCCTTCCTGTCACCCATCACCTTCCAACGTGCTTGGGAGACAACAAGAGACTGAATCAGGAAGGAGGGTGACATCCATTGCAACAGGAAAGAGACTCCTGGACTTAACTGGGTTCTTAGAATAACCTGGGTTCCTATTCGCCTTTATGCATGCACCCAGGAGAGAGGTAATACTTGGAGAAGGTTACGAAACATTACCCATACTTGGCTGAAATCTAAGACCTGGATAAGACCCTAATCAAATGACTCTTAACTCAGAGTTCGGCCAGTTTCTAAAGCAACTATAAAAAAAAGCATTTAAAACTTCAACAGCATTCAGGTAGGGATGGAGAAAGGACACACACGAGGTGGGGGAGTATCACAGGTCACTTTTTACTTCTTACATGTCTCCTTTTCCTAGGCATTCTTATGAACATCTGCTGCTTTGAAAACCCTTATGACTTTCTGAGGACATTGCTATTAATGACCTCCCCTACTCAGGAACTTTCTGAAGTCTTTCTCTGGCAAAAAAAAAAAAAAAAAAAAAAAAAAAAAAAAAAGTATAATCCGTTACACTACCAAGGGGCTGCTATTCAAATTTGACGTAAATCTTATCTGTACTTGAAGCTGTGCATGACCACACATTTAGAAAGCCAAATGGGGTTGTGGATCCAATAAAACCTACCAAATAAACTCCATCCCCAATTAAGACTTTAATTATCTGAAGCAAAAACAAACAAACAAACAAAACAAAACCATTAAGGCCTTTCTGTTGGGAGCTAAGTCCAGATCCTCTGCAAGAGTAGCAAGCATCCTTAACTGCTGAACCCTGCTGGTAGCAGCAAGCCCAGCCGGTTGCTTCTAGCACTTACCAAAGGTTGTGCCCGCTTCAGGCCTGCTCACGGAGGACACGATGACGAACCCAAAGCCCTCGTTCTCCCCGCGGCGAATCTCCACGTCATAGGGCTGCAGCACCGCACTGACCACGCCGCTGCCCCCGCCGCCGCCGCTGCCGATGCCGCTGGTGCTGCCGCTGCCCGAGCTCACCGTGTTCAGCGAGTTCTGGCTGCCCTGTGGCGTGCGCTTCTCTTCCGTCAGAGAGGCCGGCTGGTTGCTACTGTGGTGCGATGAAGCTGGAGAGGGCACCTCATTCTCTGCTTTGGGGACTGGAAGAGACACGTATGACGACTAAACCATTTGAAATTCCTGGAAAACGGGCCCAGTCACCACTTCCACCTTCCCCCACCTGTAAGGAAACCGAGATGCTAAGGCGGGCATCTTGTCTCAGAGGATGGCAACACGAGTGTGGAAAAACAGCCTTGCTGTGGAAACATTAATAGTCTATCTTCAGGAAGGCTGACTCCATGCACATCGACCTCCAAAGAGGACTCCTAAATGGCATGCAGTAGACAGTACAATGATACTACCCACAATGCCATTCCGTCTACAGCAGCATCCAGTTATGACCTTGCTCCAGTGTAGGAAGGAACTGTGAACAGACTCTGGTATGAGCTGTACCAATGCAGGCTGCCATCCCAGCTTCCTGCATTGCCTCACTCACTCACAGTCATTCCATCCTCCTTACATCTTTGTTCAGTGTTTACGTTTTCACTGGGTAGGAGACTGCTAGGGTGGGTCCTTTAAGGTTCGCAGGATTCATGAGGACCCGAAGGTAGGTACACGTAATTGCTCTCCCCAGCTCCCAGCTGTAAATATCTATTCCAATCACAGAGCTAGAAGCATTAGCTTCCTTCCGGCTTTGGGTATTCATCCAGTCTTACTGCCTTGTCAGCTAACAGGGCAAAACATTCTTAAAGAGTCCACACCTTAGGTAAAACCAGGCATGCCAAAATCGTTGTGTACTATGGTGAGTTGTGGCTATGATTATATTTATTCCACAAAGCTTTTACTTTCATAGATGGCTTTAGTTATGGGAAACCACAAATTTAATGATGTAACAGTGCTTACATGTAACTCAAGGGCATAGATGTATTCACACTGTCATGTAAATGTCACCACCATCCATTTCTAGGACTTTGTCAACTTCCCCAAGTGAAACTTTCCCCCACTATATAACAACTCCTTTACCAGCACCTGTCAACACCCATTCTGCTTACTATCTGCCTACCGAATTTCACTTAATATAATGTCTGCACTGGACTAACTTACTGAATATCCCAAACATAAGTCTTTTAAATAAAACTGAAACAACAAAGTGAAATTACATTGCCTTACTACTTTAAGACGGGGAAATCAAATAGTTTTCAACTCATTTCAAAACCCAAAAACAAACCAGCTGACTGCCATTGGATGTACGGGATACCATACTCAGAATTTGGGGTGGAGGTGGTGGAGGAATAATCTATTGTGGAGTAGGGACTGTTTTCAATGGCTACCATTAGATTCTTACACTGGAATTTAGTAACTTCATTCTGTAATTAATTATGTGTCACTTCAAATAAGCTACATTAGTTTTCTTTTAAGTGCCAATTAATTTTATCTGGGCTATCTGCTACACTAATATTAAGGCTACAGAGAATTCACAGGCTTTCCCATCATACTTCTTCAGTAATTCAACTGACATAACAGTTAATCTTCCTCTTCTGGATTCTGTTGTACAGGCTTTGCGTGGAGGCTGCATGCAAAGGTGAATAATAAAGACATATGCTTTCGGGAAAGAGCAGACATGTAACAGCTTTCTTAAAGGGGCAGAGTGAGATGTGGAAATACACTCTGAGCCACAGGCATGGCGGGAAGGAAGTGCTAAAACCTGAAAGCATTTGGAGGAGTGTTCTTGAGTGGAGACCGAAAGGGTCTCCTGAGAACTTCAGAGGAACCAGAGCTGACCTAGAACTGACCTAGAACTTCGGCTTTCTCAGTAAAGCAACTGCAGGAGCTGTGTTAGGAAGAGCTCATTCTGCAGTCCAAACTTAACTTCTGTTCGTGGAATCTGGAGCTGACCTTTTCTCACGCTCCTGATGGGCTTGTTGGATGAGGGCTATCCTCCAGTGAAGAGGAAGGCTAAGTCCTGGTTGGTGAGGGGGCAAGAGTCAGGGGATGTATATTCATCTCTCGTCTTTCTGGAAGTCTTTTTTGGAGCATATGCAAACAGCATATTAAAGTACGTTTGAATGACAGCACTTTTGCCGAGCCGGAGAGAAGCAAGCCATCTGGAAATTCTGAGCTTGATCACATTTGCAAACATTTGCTAAAATAGAAGCTTGAGGAGGCAGCTTCTAAAACGACAGAGCATGGTCCGAGGGAATGAATGGAAAACATACCAGCAAACACCACTTTGCGCCTCACTGTGAGATTGACATGGCCTTGCTTGGCAGCCTGTTGCATAAGCTGGACCACAAGCTGGTGTGATTTTCCAATTACTGGTGTCCCATCCACACAGATTAATTCATCTCCAGACCTCAGGCGGCCGTCTGTGTCAGCAGCACCCAGTGGTACGATGTGACCGATATAAATCTGTTGAGTAATTAGATGATGGATGAAACATTGTCCTGTTAGTTTTACTATCAAGACTGATGGCCTGTACATCTCTAGAAATAATTCAATTCATTCATTCATATCCACATGCATGCCACAAACGATTATTGAGGACCCACTGTGTATAAGGCATTGTGCCAGGTACTGTAGCAGTGTTTAAGAAGTGGGAAGAATAACTATTTCTTGTATAGCTATATCTGTGGCCTGTCAATCATGTCATTTTTCTTCTTCCACTCCAGAGAAATGGGCACTTTATTCTCTCACTTATAAGGCCTTTCCTCCTTTCCTGTCTACCCGAGAACTCACTCTCACTAAGCCCTGCTAAGTACATCAATACTTAGTTTCTTTAATTGTCTAGTACTGTCTGCTTAGCAGTAGGGCATCTCACTAAACATAAAATGAAGGGGAGAATGAAGCAAATTCTGGCCTGATATTCCCATTTCTGCCATCTTTCAGCACTAGAAGGCACAGGAACATTTATATTCAATGTCTTGCTGTTCTGCCATTCACCAAATGTGAGTTTAAATTTGGTGTGTGCTCTGTCTTCTCAGCAGACAACAATGTTATCGTTCTCTTCACACGGCATTTAGGGTTTATGAGGGGCATGAACAAAACAGTGGCTGAAGAGATGGAGGAGTTGGGCCTTGTCAGCCTTGCATCTACACTAGCTCTGGGACCTTGGGCCAGTTCATGAACCTTTCCGGAGCTTTTATTTTCTGGTTTGAAAAACAGGGGTACATTCTGGCTAAAGGAGATATTATATGTTAAAGGTTTTTAGTATAGCACACCACACACAGTAACTGCTCGATGAATGATAGGTTTTGTTCCAAAGGCATCAACAATACTTCTCCTTTCTTTTCCTTTCAAAGGACCGTGTGGTGTTCAGTAACTGACTCTAAGAAACTGAGGCCCAGGGAGGAGACTCAGTGTGTATCGGTCACTGTTCAGGGTTCTTTTTCTGTTATTTAAGGGCAGGGTGCTGTTTTCTTGAGCCACAGTACTGCCTAGGGAAGTTCCCTCTGTGCTCTAGCTACTTACTATTCAGACCCCTACAGTTTCTACACACACACACACACACACACACACCCCTCTACTTGCTACAGATACCACAGAACTGACCACAGGGCTGAGGCTACCGTCTGCTCTGCTCTGCCTTCTGTTTTCCTTCTTGGTGGGGGGCCTCGCTGTTGCAACCCCCACCACACACAAAAGCTTTAGAAAAATATGACTTCCCTTCTTCTTTAAGACAAATAAACAAACAAACACAGCTCCACAAAAGGAAGTGAGAGATCCATACTTCTCAAGATGAAAGAGCCAGGGCCACACCTAGCAGGACTCCTCTCCTGGTGATCTGTCAATTGCCACCACTTTGCTTTGAAGTCTTAGCAAATAGCACAAGGGAGAGAAGCAGATAAAAGACTCACAGGTTCCCCTGGCTCATTTCCACCCAGAATCCTAAATCCAAATCCGGTCTCTTTTCTCCAGAGGAAGATGTCCTGTTCCTGATAATCTGGAACTGCAGAGAAGGAAGAAGGGAAAGAGATCATTTCATTAATAAAGGGGATTATGTGTCTAAAAAGGACATGATTACAGGACCATGATGGATGATGCATGCACAGATAAAAGCTCCCCAGCACAGGCAACCACAGAAAAGGTCATGGGTAGGCGACAGGGCACAGGACAGTGGGCACGAGGAAGCGGTAGGAAAGTGGAGCTCTGCAGCTCCCCAAGGGACTCAGGCTGCCTGGTAATGCCCAGGTTAGCTCATGACAGCTACGCCAGGAGTCAGCAGGCACCTCCCTCCTCAGCATCGCTCCAACAGGAGTCAAACTGAGTCTCTGTGGGCTGCACTACACAGCAAGTATCCACGAAGAAAATCACACAGCGGGAGTCTCCCCAGAGGAGAAGTGGGCGCTATGGATTTGAAAGTTCCTTTAAATGACTTGTCATTTTATTGAGAGGACAAGTACTGTGGATTTGGCTCAAAAGAATTTCTAATTTATTTTTAATCATATTCTTCTTCTCTAACGTAATCAAGACCAGTGACACCAGTAATTTAATACGAGATCAGTTTTGTGAGAAAAAAAAAATGACTCTCAAGGGCTGTGGGGTGCACAGCTCAGTGGAAACTGTTCGCCTATCCTTCTCCAGGTCTTGGGTTTGAACCTTGGCACCATCACAAAATATAGAGTTTAATATGATTTCAGTACTAATATACCACAGTTGTCACATTTCTAGACCCTTAGGGTCAAGTGGTGACAGCAACTTCTGAACAATTAACTGGATCTCATCACTAAATTACAGCTTTTCCCTTAATTTGCCTATGGTATCTGAACGTGCATTATCTTATTACCCAATAAGTTGCTATTTTGTCTAACACTCAGTAATGGTCTAGTGCTTTAAAACGAAGCCCTCAGTAAATTCCAGAAGAAAATGCCTGTTGGGCATGAAGTCTTCCTATATAACTGCACTGTTACCTCACTGAGATAATAAAAGGGTTGTTTTCCCTTTATTCTTATGGAGTACTTTAATGTACATACAAGGTGTTTTATAGTCTATAAAGAGATACAACTTTTAGTTAAAGAGAATGCATATAATTCAGTTGCAGCGAATCCTAAAGGGGGCATTAAATTACTGCTCCACATTCCTTCTTATTTGCTTCATTAATTGTATTTTGGGCTGTAGGAGTATCTAGGCCTGAAACTTTAATTCCCATCTTCACCGTTTTGTGCGATAGAATAGGAAAGACAAAAATGGTTGTTTAGATTTCATATTGGGGGTTATTGGTCCTTTTCAGTGATTTGCCTATAGCCTAAGATGCATAGTGAATGAATAATCCAAGGGAAACAAAATGAATGCGTATAAGGCAGAGGACTCAGAGTAGATTTTGCTTGAGCTACTTTTAGGCTGGGGCTCTACCTGGATGTTTGTATACAATCTTTTATATTAAAAATGCTGAGGCTTGCTTGTAAAATGCCAGGAAAGATGAACCTGGCTACATCACGGGACTCCTACAGAAACATTGGGAGACTAATGTTTCCTTGAACACATTTATATAAATATATTCATTAATTCTTGTTTGAGTAGCTTGGTAAATGATGCATGCTGTGAAGTGCCTCATTGAAATAACTAAATCAGAGGGTGTTCTGCCTTTTGGTCTACCCAGGGAAGGGAACTAGCACCCCAAAAGACCACTGGTGATCTTCAGCTGGTATACATGGGTGCTGGCAGAGTCAATCTGATGTCTGCTGAGCATAAGAGCTTTCTAAGAGCAATTAAAGGGCCTTTGCAGCTGCCTTCAGCCCGGACCCATTTTTCTCTGCATCACTTTAACACAGTATCATTTGTCCATCCTACAGGGGCAAAAAAACTGTAGCACATTCTGCCTTATGTTGCAATGAGGTATCAGCTATCATGGTATATGGAGGAGACCCAACAGATTTAGGTCAATCACCCAAGTTAGGCCACAGGAAAAAAGTTTTTCTTTCTTTCAAGAATCAACTGGAAAGTAGTAAATTTATTTAAAGCGTTTTCTGTTGAAAAGAAAGGTGCCCCGTGACAATTGGGATATGAATACACTCACAATGAGCCAGGAAACACAAACATAAACACCAACACAGACACGTGACAAAGAAAGCCTTCGGCTACTTAACTTTTAGCATATTAACAATTTTACCCTCTCACCAACTAAATACCATTTACTCACATAAATATAGCCTCGGTTAATGAATTGGTATTGAAATATACTATGGTAGTCAAAATTTTATCTCCTATGATACTACTTCTTGATATAAGAAGTGCTGAGATTTTGAAATTAGTTCCCCCAAATGTTTCACCCTGTACTTTCGGAAGAATTGTATTTTAGAGAGCAGCAAGGTGGGGCCATTTTTCTGACATTATTGTCACATTTCTTATTATTACTGTCTCTTCAGTGAGGCCAGTCTTGCAGAAGTTACAGCTCTGATGCAGCCGTTTGCATCTTAGATCCTTACCTAGGGGACAATGACCGCCACAGTTCATCTGCTTCTGGTATTGGTAGTGGTCACTTAAGAAAGTAGCCGAATGACTTTCCTTGACATTTAGTGAGAGTGGGGTCACCAGGCCCTGGTGTCGCCACTGCTCCAGCCACACAATGCAGCTACAGACTCAGAGCACACACATCACTTCCTAGTCTCATCTTGTGTTTGCTTTATGCTCAGCCAAAACAAGCCTAAAAACATCACTGCATGGACTTTTATCTTCCCTCACTTCTGTGGGCTTCTCCCCGGACAGATGGGAACATCAAACAGGAGGAATGATAATGGAGACACAAACGTGTGCGGCAGATCCTTACTCTGACATTCTCCAAAACTCGTGGAACTGATCTCTCTGTCTCTTTCACCCTTGCTCAGTCCTGATGCAGGCGAAGGCGACATGGCTGGAACAGCAATTTCACAATTGTGTAAAGCTTAACATACGCTCGCTCTTGGTTCATTTGAATTTAGTCGTGATTGATAAGGGATGTGCAGTTCAGCTTCACAATAAAGGTCCTGACTGCTATGGACTTCAAAGGACCGCGGTTGGGTTCTGTTTTTCACTTTCTTTTTTTCCTGGTGCTTTACTTGTCAAAAATCTAATTGAACACTGAGAGTTTCCTGTGACTTCCATTACCACTGTAGGCTCCTGATGCTTAATTAGACTCTAACCACATTCTTGAGTGACCTCATTTCAGTCACATCATGAACTAGAGAAGGCTGTCTAAATCCTCATTGTCTTGTGAGAACATGGAAGTGTATGTTAGCACTCCACAACAGCACTTGCTTAGGGGAGTGTTGGTTCCTGAGAGAATCCGTTCTTAGAACAAGGCATGCCCTGGTAAATTCTAGGTATTTCAAACCAGAATAGTCTTATGTTTGAGATGCAATCATGGGATCTGTTGAATCTGAGCGAACACACAGACAGAAATGGTTATAATGATCCTAAAACCCTGGTGTAAGACTTGTAGGCATGACTCCCTAGAGGACAGCTTTATAATGGTTAAAATGACAGCTTCGACTGCTTTCTTGGCAAGCTAGACCACAAACAGGCACAAACTTTATTTATAAGCTTTGGAGTTTCCTTTGTAGTAAAGGCTGCTGTGCACGAGGTGACTGTGTGAACATCTGCTAATAAGACCAATCATGTCACTTTTAAAGACATGGATCCAACTGGCATGTTATCTAGAGGAAATACAAAACAGGCAAGGCGGCTTACTGAAAGGACTTCAAGTCTTTAATTAACATTGAAATCCTTCAAAGGGATTCATTAACACTTCTGTAACTCAGATTAAATCATTTTTGACACTGCGGTTTTGGCAGAGAGCCAAATTGAGAGGATGGTATTTTGTGAAACACCTAGAACATGTAAGGGAAAGTGGTCAGCTCTGTGTTCATCTTTACACTGCCCTTAACAATGGAGTTCAATAAGAAGGAAAAGGTATTTTCAACACAAAGGGAATAATATGTATAATTAATGTACTGTGACTTACTTCAATTTTCCTTCAGTATTTGCTTATTTTATCATCAAAGGATGGGGAGGGAATTCCATCCATCAAGGCTACTCTTTTTTTTTTTTTTTTAAAGAATGTTCTTAAAAGACAACATACAAAATAACTTACTGCAATGGGAGAAATGAATTTGAGATTAAATAAAATGGTAGGTAATTCAAAGACAAGATTGCTATAGGTTCATCAGTGGGTACCATGGGAAGAAGAAAATCTGTGCTGGAGACACAGTAATTACTGGAGGTGGGGCCGGGGGAGGGTCATCATTATCCTCATTTAGTAGAGAAGAAAAAAAATCTATGCCGATCTCAACAGCCATTAGGCTGCTCCTATCACTCAATTACAGAACCTCCAATCACCAAAGAGGCATTGATTCTCACTGTGGGGCTGTATCTGATCGCTTAGATGCTAAGAAAGCAAAGGGACAAAAAGGGAACCATTCCAAACATGTCATTGTGACCGCATGGAGCAATGTCAAAGATTACAGCGATCAGCTTATAGTGCTTATGCTGGATAGTCCAGTTTCTTTTCCTGGTGAAAACTTCCCTAAAAGTTGAACTAAAATATCCAAATCCCAAGAAATATTGTTGCTTTAGGGTGGACGAGCCTACCATTGAGCACGTATGTGCTTCAAGTGTCCTGTCAATCCAGGAGGTCCCGCCAGTACTTCAGGGAATGATTTATTTGATCATAAAAGGATGGGAACATGGAAAACTCAACCATAATGTGTACTGGACTGAAGAAAGCAGGAGCATGGTCAATAAAGCAATCACTCCACATCCCCTGAAGTTGGGTCATTGACTGAAGAAGCCACATGGTTAGAGAGCAATGTGAAGGGACTATGGGACACTTGAAACTGGGAGGCATTCCTTCAGGGTGTTTTAAAGAGAAATCACTACAGTTAGAGGGTGTTCCTGGTATGAAGCCCAGGTTTGTAACAGTTGGGTCTCCCTGATTCTGAAAACCTCACATGCTATAAAACCCCGAGCTTTTTAAGTATTGATATAACACCATAAGAAGAAAACTCCATACCATAAAATTTATATTTACAGATAAAATCACTGCAAATACGGTCTAAAATGACTTTCTGGCTTTGTGTGTAAGAGATGTAAGAAACAAACAGATTTGAAATTCAGACTCAGGTCCCATCCTCAGACTATCTCATTACAAATATGCAAATATTTCAAAATCGAAATTGGAAGCATTTTCCATCGCGAGCATTTTTTGATATAGGATGCTTGACTTTGTAGTTAATATTTGCTGCATTTGTAGATTTCCTTCAGTCTGGCTTCCAAAGGACTTCAGTGCTATCTTCCTGGGAGTCGGGGGAGTCCATTTCCAAAACAGCTGGCTTTTGTCAGCATGGTGAGCCTCAGCTGGTACAACAGCCTTTCTAATGGCCCAATGTTTTACTCTGATGGTGATGGTACTTCAGGGGACCTCTGACAGCTGCTAATCAGCAAGAGACCCTCATGTGCCCCCTGAAGGTTGAGTTTTACCTAAGAGTTTGGTCAACTTTCCTTCTCAGGGTTGCTGGCCTTACTCCCTTCCTTATCCGAGTCACAGAACAAGGGAAGTCTTCCCAAACACCATTCAGACAGCCAGGTATGCTGAAGAGCCAAGTCAGAGTGGTTGTTGAGGGGAGGAAGAGCCCTTAGCCTCTCATAGTCTCTGAGCTACCCATCTCCACAGCGGTGACATCAGGGTGGTTAGGAACAAAGCCTGTTCTAAGTTCCCCCTGTGGCCAGGTAAAACAATGCTGTTTTCTCTCTCTGCTTCTCCCAGGTCATCAATAGAGTGTCTTTCCTCCTAACACATTCTACCCCACTCTATGGCTGGGCATACGAACCAGCCAACTCAGAAAGAAAATGTTAGTGAGGGCAACGACTCCAAAAGAGCCAATAGCATCTGCTAAGCTTGGGGCATTTAGGGCCTTGCATTGGTAAAATAACAAAGATAACTGATGGTGAATGTCCCCAGGAATCACTTCATTAAAAGGAGAGAAGGGAAATAAGGAGGAGATCTCAGGTGTTTAAGATCCAGAAAGTTGATCTTAATAAAACAACACAACTAACTACTGTATAGATAATTAAGCTACAATCATTCTCTGTGGGTCTTCTTCTTCTCTTCCTTCTCCTCCTCCTCCCCCTTTTTGAGGAAAATGTTTGCATAGACTGGTATCACCAGTATTTTTAAGAACCACAAGGCCACAAAGAAAGTACCTGACCTCTTCTCATGAACCCACAATCACAGTTATACTGTTGTGTGTTAGAGCAGCTTCATCAGGCAGGAGTGCAGAGTAGGCCACGCTCTCCATTTGGGAAAGGATTAAAAGACAGCGGCTCTTACCAACCACTTCTTTGAACCAGAAAGAAAAGCATCCATTTTTACCCGTGCTTCCTCAAGCTGGAGACATCATCTAGCCTGTGCAGATAACCAGGGAATTCTACCTCCTCTAGGAAGCTGTGGCTTTCCATCCTCTTTACCTTTATCCACTGGATACCCCAGGCCTCTTTTATTAAGAGGAGGCTAGCGCACTGGGAAGGGCCTGGGAGAGCAGGAACCCAGGTTTTACTCACGTCGGTTTTCATACATGCTCCTGGACTGGGCCCAGATTTTAAAAGGATCTGGTTTTTTCTGCCCAGAGCTGTCGGTCTGATCTGGAGCAGGGGCGTCTGCGGGTGGGTACTCGGGGAGCACCTGTGTGCTGTGACTCGGGGATGCCGTGTGCAGGCTCCGGTGGCTGGAGACACTGTGCTGGGAGCTGTTCTGGCTGTCTTTCCTCTCCAGTGGCTGCTGTAAGAGAGCAAGTGAGAGGGCCAAGAAAGGAAGATGACTGTTGTTTCTCCAGTGGGTACCTCTCCCCAGCCTGCCTTTGCTCAGCATTTCTGTACACACGTACACACACACACACATACACACACACACACACACACACACACACACACACACACACACACACACACACACACACTTAAAATGACACTCTGGCTTCTCCAGCAAGTGCTGAATGCAGATAAATCCTTAGATGATTGGCAGGAAGACAGAGGGGCGGACTAGACAGAGACATAACCATACCCATGCTGCTCTCTGGGCTGAAGTGGGAAACAAATCTGATTTTCATTGTAAGATCTCGGGAAGATGCACTGGGTTTATTTATTGTAAGATGCATCTATCCCAACACCCTCAGTTCTTCACAAAAATATGTGACTTGAAATACCCTAAGCGTTTTAGATGTAAGTCTGTAATACCTGTAAGCAATACAATCAGGGCTACAAATGCTATGTGGGGCTCCATATGCTGTATCTGTTAATAAAAAAAAAAATGCCTGCTCCGCTCTGCAGGTTTCCTCCAGCCCTGTTCCAGCAGGGACTGTGGCAGAGCATTAGGAAGTCACACCGGGCAGCACAGTGCTCTGGTACTCACTGCAGAGAACCAAGAGCGTCTATAATTTTTAGTCAATCAATTCTAAAGGCAGTGCTTTCTACCTCTTGAATTACCGAGACTACCGTGAATTAAAACAATGAAGAGCAAACTTGAAGTACATGTATGTGTTGCTCTGCAGGGTCAGCCTTCCCAGCCTGGTAACTTGTCCAAAGTTTAAGTACTTTTCAAAGGGGAACTTCATCGACTTCAAAGGCAGAGTCAAGTGCCTGATCACTGAAACCAGCCCAGCACAGACTCACACTGTATGAAATATTCTCTGAAGTGACGGGGAGCACAAGCAAAAACCCTGGTAAGGGTTTCACCCCTGCGAATGCAATGCTGGAGTTCTCATTTGCAAAAGCTACCATGTTATTTAACTTCAGGTGGGGGCCATCTGCATCCTCTATTAAGCACAGTGCAGAGCTGTTTTTAAAGAGGTTTATAAAAACCCGACTGTGTGTGTTCTGGTCCCCTGGAGCTCTGCCACCAGAGGCTATCATCAATCCCCCCTGCTCTCCCCTCAGTGTCCCCCATCTTTCACTCCTTGTTGGAGATGACCATGGTCCTTTCCCTTTTCGTCCTTGTTTGGAAATCAGTAGATGAAGAGAGTCCAAAAAGAACAGATTTGCCTTGTCCCTTTTGCCTGTGTATGTTCATGTGTGGGGACATGTGCATTCATACACACGCACACAGAATGCAGAAGGCAACCTACCACTTTTTGTTTGAGACAGAGTCTCCCATTGGCCTTGAGTTCACCGAACAGGCTAGTTAGCCAGCGAACCCCTGAGAGCCTTGTCTCCACCTCCCATTTCACCTTTCTGGAATAACAAGCACGGGCTGCTCTGCCTGTCGTTTTCTGTGGGTTCTGAGAATATAACCTAGGTTTTCATATTTGCGTGGCAAGCACGTTATTGACGGCCATCTCTCAACTCCTCAGCTGAGTTGAGATCTTGCCTGCTAGAGACCTGACTATAGGTTTTGGAAAAGATCCGCAGGCTATTAGAATGTTGAGAGACTTGCTCACTCCCATGCAAAGGGGTGGCACACACTAATGAAGATGCCAAGGGAAGCACAGGGCAAACACACCACCACTTCATCCTTTCTCTCGTCAGGTGTTAATGGACTTAGCTCAGTGCTGGATAGACAAGCATTTCCGGGACCTGAAATAGGCACTCCGCCACCTTTTAAGGTCCTTCCCTACATGGACATCAGCTCTCTTGGCCTCATATCACGCCCTGAAGAGCAATGCCTATCCCGACCCTTCCTTGGGTGACATGCTGGAGATGTTGAGGGCGAGAACAGCACCAGTTCTCTCTTGAATGTACACATCTCATCTGTGTCTCTCTTATAAGCTCCTAATCACAAAACTTGCACAGCATTGGCCCATTGTTGGTGTGGACATACGGCACAATGTTTAGGAAAAAACCCCGATACTATGGGTAGTTTCTTCTTTTAAGTTTTATACTTTTCAGTGCTGCATATATAAATACACACACACACACACACACACACACACGCACATGCACACGCACATGCACACACACATATATTTTATAGCAACAGGTAACATCTTACAATAAGACAATTAAAGGCTATTTCCATCTTGAGGTGAACTTTGGTAAACAGAATTAATATGGACTATGACTTTTATGCTGTTAAGGAGATATTCTAAATATAAAACCAAATCACTCAATACAGGAGCTGAGTTTGCCTGGAGAACCACACACTCCCCTTCAAATGCTAACCCTAGTTTTCTTCCTCAAAAGAGTGGCAGCTGCCTGATTGTGGAATAAGCCCAGCAACACTGAGTTCATTTCACAGCTGAACTAAGTCTCTACTCCTGAATGTGTCCGTCTCCATCTGAGGACACTTAACACCCCCACCTTCTAGGCCTGCAGGCTGCCGTATACCTGGAAGAGCATTCACAGGTGGCTGTTTCAGGGGGTGCTTTGCAGTGTGCGTCATACAGACTTCTTAGGTCCCTGTCCCTGAAAACCAAACTTTAACCTCTTACACGAGATCATTTTTCCTCCCTGGCCCACTAAGAGTCTGGTGCAGTGTTGGGCATTTCTGCTGTATAATGTGCCCATTGGCTTTGTGCCCAGTGAGTGGCACCCACAGAGCCAAGGGTGTGAGCACATGGTCCCCAGCTGGTGGAGGTGTGGGAAGGTGTGGAGCCTTTGGGACATGTGGCCCAGCTACCAGAAGCGGGTATCCTGGGATGGCCCTTGAAGATGACAACACCCTTCTGGGTCTAGCCTGACCTTTCTGTTTCTTGTCAGTCACCATGTGGTCAGCCACTTTCTGCTCCTGCTGACAGAGGCTAAGCCAATCCTGCAGCCCTGCCTCTTCACCCTGATTGAGTGACATCCTGAGTTCAGGAGCCAAACTAAACTGTTTCCCCTTAAGCTGCTTATGTCAAGAATTTCCTCACCCCAATGAGAAGAGTCATGCACACACCATCATACATGTTGCGCAAATGGGTTTCTAAGGCTCTAGGATGTTTATCTTAGTGTAACAACTAAGGACACAGAGAACCCAGCCTCCGGTTTAACTAGAGAGCTGCTTGGCCATAAAGGGAGTATGCAGATGAAGTCTCCTGAAAACACTTTAGCCACTTTTCAAATTATAACAGCCTTTCTCACCTAGCCATAAAGGCTCATTTAAGTCTGATGGCACACTTGGATGAAGGAACAAAACTGCATCTCTGTCACACTGGGCCTCTCAGTCCCTTTATGTCATCTAATGTTGCCTCTCAGTCAGAAAGGTATATCCAAAAATTTGGAGAACGTGCTCCAAAAACTATACTCCAGAGCCGTCACTCACTAGTTTAACCTGATGCCAAACTAAAAGGCTATGGTCCAGTAATCCGGAAGCTTTCTGGATTTTTACCTTGCTAAGATTTAGCCCTGTTCTATGTTCATTTTTAAATCTGACTACTTCTCTTCAATTTAAAGATGCATTCTATCATGTGAATCTTAGGGTTTTTGGAGTTGTGCTCTGTGTGTATGTGTGCAAACATTTCACAAGTGTTTTCTATTTTCTGTGACATCCTTTATTAGAGCCCAAAACTGGTCAAGGAAAAAGCAGGATTTACAGGGCTCTCAAGTTAAAGTAATCTGGTGTGTGTGTGTGTGTGTGTGTGTGTGTGTGTGTGTGTGTGTGTGTGTGTGTATGTACACGTGATCAGGTCTGTATGCATACAGGTGCATATGTATTTTTTGTGGAAGCCAGAGGGTAACCTTGGGTGCTGTTCCTTAGGTGCCATGCACTTCAGGGTTTTGAGACAGCCCTTTTTTAAGTCTGGAGGTCCTTGATTAAGCTAGGCGGGCTGATTACCAAACAACACATCTGCCATCTGTACCTCCTCAGTACTAGGATTATATGCATACACCACTGTATACTTCTTAAAAAATGTAGATGCTAGGGGATGAGCTTGAGTTCCTGATGCCTGTGTGATCATTTTACCGACTGAGCTATCTTCCTGCCCCTTCAGTTTGTATGGCTTTTCTTGACTGTCTACCAGAAGGCTTTGCGCATGAAAGAAAATTTACTTCTCAGTTGAGACAGCACAGATTTAGATCTGCAAGCAATATGAATGCCATTCATCTGTTTTTCTTTATAGTTTGTTCACTTTGTGTGTGTGTGTGTGTGTGTGTGTGTGTGTGTGTGTGTGTGTGTTTAAAGAAAGTTTTAATATGTAGCCCAGGCTAAACTCAAACTCTCAATTTTCCTGCTCCTGCCTCTGAAGTGCTAGGGTTATATGTGTGTGCTACCTTCAATTCATTTCCCTAAGTGAGACGCTAGCTCTAAGACAAGGAGCCCTAAGGCTGTATCTTTAGCCCTGTTAAGAAAGGGAAGCCTGTGCATGTAGCACATGGACGGAGAGAAACACCTAGCACACTAACAACAGGATATCAGTCAAGGCCTACCTACAACCACCTGCGATGTATTTATTCAACTCGATCAACAAATACAAATGGATAATTTATACTGTGCCAGACACTAAGAAACACAACAGATAAATAAAAAGATGTTACCTAACTGCCTGGAATTTATAACCAAGTATGAATGTATATGTGTAGATGGATATTATATGAATCAGATATTCAGAATATATTGAAAACAATGCACCACAATGTCCTTTGGATAGCTGGTTGAAGGATGGGCGTATAGAAGAGTGTTTTGGCAATGGACCCGGCATATGCTAAGTCCTAACATAGAAATGATCTTGGACAGCTTGCAGTTTGCAGAATGAATGGCTAGTGTGACACTGCGAGGGGATGGGGAGCTGGACATGAACTTGGAAGGCGAATCAGGCAAGTGCCTTATGTGACACTGTAAGGAGAGGCTTCCTTTCTAGCTCTGGA